CACTATGTGCACATCCTGCACCTAGTCGCGCACGCACACACATGCATAGCGCATGATGCCTGTGCGGGTGAACTCTCCCGCAAGATTTTTCTTCCTTTTTCTGTTTTTTTTTTTCTAAAAATTAATTATTTAAAATAATAATAATAATAATAAATAAAATAATAAAAATATAAATTGAATAAAAATAAAAATTAAAATTAAATAAAATCAAAATAAAATAATAAAATTGGCATAAAATTGAAATTACGAATTACGATATAATATTACAAAATAACTTTAAATAAGTTCAGGTGACCTTAAAATCCGAACAAATAAAAATTTTTCAATTACAATTTAGCGCAGTGGTGAACGGAGTATTACAGTTTATGAAGTGAAAGTGAAAAATAATATGATTATTAATTAGAAATAAATAATAATAATAATTAAGAAGTTTTTTTCCAAATTTACACCACATTTCATTTGCTATTATTTTATTTTCAGTAATTTATATATTTCTTTCTGAATATATATTAATTTTTAAAAAAATTATAATATAAAATTCTTTTCATATATACCAAATATTCCGAGTTTAATGCAAAGTTATAAGGGAACATTATAAATAATTTTGATGACTTTTTTCCTGGTTTACTTTATGAGAGAATATATTCAAGAACCCTACATCTGATCTATTTATTACCATTAACAACTAGCTAGGCTGGTTTATATCACATCATATTACGTCGCCAGTAAATGTGGATGATATTCAAAGAGATATATATATATACACTTGTGGCTACAGATAAGAACCATAATTTCCTAAGGTAAAAAATTATTATTATTATTATTATTATTATGACAGCTTGCTCAACTACCATGATAATAACTTTAAAATCCGCAAATTTAATCCATGCTGTATATATAATAATGTGTATAGCCGTGAATACTATTGATTTTAATATGTTTAAAATTTTGCTTAATTATTTGAAATCTTGAAGGTAAAAAAGATCACTTTTATTCTTTTGTAGAAGCTTAACTATCCTAATTATATACATATATAACCTTCAAGATTACCAATAAATACCTAATATCATTTAATAGATAAGCTTCGAGATTCTGTATGATTAGGTTAGAGGGTAGCTACTAGTATATATAAGAGATATAAATACACAGGTCTAATTATAGTGAGATATACACAAGAGATATACTAAATATTTAGAATAAAAGGTTTAACAGTAAAGATAAAAATAAATTCATACATCAAAAGACAGTAGAAAGATTCGATTGATCACAATTGACATTAAAAGGAAACAAAAAGTTAAAAATAACTACAGCATTTCCTCATACACCTTTCCGCTGGAGTTAGCACTCTCGAGCTTGAACCGTTCTCGAACAAGTGAAATGTACCTCGTAGCCTTAACATCAACATTCTCGTCACCACCATCAATATCCCAAATTGTGTAATTACACGTTTTATCAGAAGCAGTTATGTTAGGCTTAGTCATTATGTACGAGACTTTTTGCATGGATGCTGGACAATTAGACTTGATCGATGTGGGTCTCACCTTGTTAAGAAAAAGAGGGAACCCGTGTTTCGTGGCTCGCGAGAACGGATTACCCAACTTATTCCTCATCAATCCTCCTCTTTGCTTGTTGCTTAGACTCTCCATATTTGGCTAATACAGCTTACGATAAGTAATGAACTATAAGCAGGAGCAAAGTCTTCTTTATATATGCACGGTTGGTTTGGCATCAAGGAAAAAAACTTAATGATTTATTAATTATAAATTTTATTAGTGATTCAAATTTTATGTAGCTGAACCTTGTGGAAGGTGGCTGGCCAATAGGGTGGGTTTAATTATTTTAATAATTAACTATTAATTTAAGATATATTTGGTATATGAACAGGCTGAAAGTGGCTGTGGATAGGCATGCATAATCCTCTAATTGGCCCACCTTCCATTAATATCTATTATATATACATATATGTATGTATGCATAAACTGATCAAATCCAAAGTTTACGTAGGTTTGGATAATATTCCCACCTATAAGTTTTGGTGAAGATTCACATTATGGACAACTCCACAGCCAGGCTTGTGATGATACGTATAATACTTTTTTTTCTTTTGTTGATTTGTTATGTTGTGTATACGTACATATATGTATGTATATATATATATATATATATATATATACATATATATAACATTAAGAGTTATGGCCAAAGATTTGTGTGTAGGCATGCTCTGATTTTGTTCTGCCTTTTCATTTTTTTTAAAGCCATGCAAATATCCTACTTTATCAACCTTTTTCTACTACGTTAATTAGGAGCTCTTAATTAACAAAGTTTAAGGTTATAATTTACATATTAATAATCTAATTCATACATCTTAGTTATTTTTTTCTAAAAATATATCTTAATTATTTAATATATAAAATTAGTTATAATTTACATATTTAATGAATAATTCAATTATTTTTCTAATTTTACAATAACGAATTTATATTTACATTTATATTTATCTTTATCAAGATATAATTATAATTAACTTAAAATTCAAAAACTTTTATTTCAAAATTCTATTCAGTTTATATCATATTTTATATAATTAAAATTTTAAGTAAATTTAGTTCAGAAAACCCAGAAATTGAGATTTTGAATCGGGCTTATATTGAACAAAGCCCAGTCAAACTAGGCCCGATGTGGTCGGAATTTAAGTCTTCCTCCTGTTCCTTCCTGGAAGAGTTTCCCGCCAATATCCACTGAAACCACTTCGTTCCGCGCGCTATTGAGGCAGAGAAGCGGAACTAAGAGGATAGTTAGCAAAACTGACTTCACTGTAGTGGAGATTGTTGCTAATTTATCTTACAGAAGGCTGTAAGCAGGGAAGAAATTCAAGTAATATAAAGAAGAGATGGAAGTGATTCGATCTCAGAGGAGATCGGCACCCAACGATGTCGTTTCAACCCTCCCGCTCTATCGGTCTGCTCCTCCGCTCGAGGTCCGCCTCGAAGATTTCGAGTCCTTCGCCATGGATCGCCTCCGAGGTAACCATTTATTTGTCTTTTTTAGTTTCAGTTTTTGTTTTGTTCATTTTCTAAACCTGATCTATAGTTTCTTTTCAATGTGAAACCTCCTGCATATTTTTTTTTCGGTTGAGGAATGTAGAGATTTCTCTTGTTTGTCTCCCTAGGAAATGTTGGAAAATATATGAAGAGAGGAAAAGTACCAGAAGATTTTAGAATAAGTTGTCTATCTGTGCATAACTTTCGTAGTTTAGGGTTTTACCAATCACGAATGCTAAGTTTGGACAGTATGCTCCTAGTTTTTTTTTTTTTTTTTTACAAGACGTCTGGTTTATACCTTAATGGTGTGAGACTTCGGGGATGTGGTGATTCTTGCAGTTCTTAAAGGGATCTCGGATGGATTATCTCGGGGAAAGAAGCCCGAAGGAATGGAAAAATTGGTAAAGAAAACAAGAGAAACAATTTTGATGTATTGCATTGTTATCTTATATCAATCTAATGCTTGGCTTTTACATATTTGGACTTCTGGGCACAGGTAAGTGAAATGTGGAAAGCGAACATGAGACATCCACAGGCATCCGAGGTTGTTAACAAGGATATAATCTCCCACTTTGTTCTGCGTCTTGTATATTGCAGAACGTGAGCTTACTGTACCTCTCTTACTGGTTTCTTATGAATCTTAGTTATGCTGGTTTCTCTCCTTACTTTTTTTCTTATGTTTATGCTTAGCGAGGAGTTGAGAAGATGGTTTCTCACCATGGAGACTGCCCTTTTTCGCTACCGTTTTCGGCTTGAAAACCTTGAAGCTCAGGTACTTACATGCTTTTCTCTGGCATGAAAATTTATGTGACAGATTCTAATCTCTATTGATGCTGTTGCTTCTGAGTTTACAGAAGGCATTATTGGCTGAGTTTAACCTCCCATACAAATCAGTTAGCAGTGCAGAATTTGAGGTAATCAGCTTTCACTTCTTTTATTGATTAGTGAAAGACATACAGATGGAGTTGCTTGAGTCACACTTTTGCAAGCATGTGACCCAAGTATATTTCTTCTGTTATGCCTCTCAGGTGTACAGTGCAGAGAGTTTCAAAGATTTTATCGCGAATGTTTTCATCCCTACCATGTATCTTTCTTTTTACTGCAGAGTGTAAAGGATGAGTTGGGGCAAGTTGCACGCTCTATTAGTCAGCCTTTACCAACAGGTGGCAACCTAATACCTGAAGCACTATATGCATTTCTATCGTATCCATTTGAAAGAATGTAACTCATTGGTTCAGCACGAGTACAGCATTTTACTGCTACTAACCTTGTGTCAGGACCGATGGACCAAGGGACAGATTTCTTTTCTATGCTTAGTTAATCTATGGTTAATAGTATAGCTGATACCAAAATAGTTTAACAGAGGGTTTCAGTTATTTGTTGACTTTACTGGAATAAGTTAACCATTGAACTGGATTTCTATCTTCCATATACTTGCCATATGTTGCTTTCTGATGTTCATTTGCCTTCTTGGATTGTTTTGATCTTGATAACTTTCTCCTGCATGGATTAAAGATTCTATTGATTTCTCGTTTATTTTTTTTCCTCATGTAATCTGCCCTTCTAGAACTTTGTCAACTTGTTTTACGTATCCAGTTTGTTTTAGAAAACATTTGTCCCACTTTCTGAGTACCTGCCGTTGGACCAGGCAATTTTTTCTTAATTGATAATTTATATGTCATTTTATTTTATTTTCTAATTTAGTATACTCTCTTTCTTCTTCAGTTTGTTTATATTTTAATTTTTGATTTTTTTGGCTGTTCACTCTTTTTGCAGCTGATGCTATATTCTATAAGGTACTTTTACCTTTGTCTATATTGGTTTATTAACATATTACCAATGGAGGGAAGTTCCTAATAAGAAGACCACGGAAGAAGTCTTATGGCCTATTTGTGACATAAAGTTCAAACATTAATTCAACCATCCATTCTGTGTGATTGGTGGGCCAGAATCAATACAACTAGATTTCTATAACAATCCTTGGCCTGCTTCAGGGATGGATTGTTATCATTCGAGCATGTGGATATATGACTGAAAATTGAGATGTACCAGAATGATGACCTGCTTTTTACTTATCTAAGAATATCATCTCATTATGATCTTTGGCTCTGTATTTACTCAAACTCACACCTGAATGAAGGTTCCATTTGAAGAAGTTCCAGAACTTGTAGCTGCTCGGAGAGTATTTGTACAGAAAGGGCATGCCTTTGTTGCCATGAATCAGGTTTTTTTTTTTTCTTAAAATAAATTTTAAACTTGACGTTCTATTCAACCTTGGATATAATTTAGATGATTGAATGATAATTGTTTGCTTTCCACTTTCTTTATTTTAGGTGGTTTCCCTTGTTGTCACACAATTCCGCAGTCTTATATCCAAGGCACTTCTTCTAACCAACAGGTTTCTCTACTTATTTTACATTTCTCAAACTTCCTAGTAAAAGCTGCTGCTTATTCTGCATTTGCTGCCTGAACTAATTGTCTAGTAAGGAGAAGTAATATCAATAGGCTGTCTTTATGTGATTTTTTTATACTAAAAATACCCAAGCAATGACTGCTCAATGAGGACTACTGATTCGTTTTGGAACTACATTTTTGTAAATCAATCTGCACTTTTTATTGGCTGTATTGCAGCTGAGAGATCATGTAGTTGTGTGATTAATTTATTTCGGGAATATAATTTGATTCTTTGATTATCATATTTCCATTGTGCATCAATATAATTATACTTTAACTTGAATAGGTAGCAGCTCTGATGTATGACAAGGAGGTTTTAGAGAGTACATAAATTAGCCTGAAAAGAAACTAGAGAACTTAAATTTCAACAAAAACTCTGTATTCTCAATAATATTTGGATGATAATATAAAAGTTTGACTTAAAACATCCGAGGGTACCCTTTCTAAGTAAGCTGAATATTCTTCGTAATGCACAGAATATCTAAGTTACATAATTATTCCTTGCTTTACAGTCCTTCAACCTTAGCATCTCCCTTTCTTGCATCACATTTTGTTACTCAGCTCTTCCCATGTATATGCGAGGGCACAAGTTGGTCTTAGATTTATTTCATTTGGATTCTTGTTGACTTCTCCACATGTATGCATATGGTTTGTAATGTTGAAACCATAGATAGTTGAAGCATGTGGCTGCCTCCTTTGATACTCAAATCATCAGTTTGGCTTTTGGTTGCAGAAAATGGATGTCTGCCATTCGGGAACAAGAGAAAGACCGATTGACACCTGTAAGTACTAATTTGATCATTTTAACTGCAAGCAAGTCTCTGTTTCCAGTTGAAAGTTTTCTTATTTCTTTTTCCTGTTTCTCTTTTCTACTGGGGTGGTGATATTGTTTAGATTGTGGAAGCCTTGTCTACAAGCTATCTTGGACCTGACTATTCTCAGGTACTTTATTGCATTCTTTTTGGTCATATGTTATCCAGAATTTGCAAATGTTTATGGTTATTGACTGCTTCTGCAGCCAAAAGAGTTCACAGAAATATCAATTAAGGACATTGATCAAGTAGCCAAGAGTTCC